ACTGAGCGAAAGAATGTAATAAAAACTATAATGCAGATTCATAAGAAGTTTTCCCATCACTAAAAATAGTGTATGGATCTAAAGCGGCCATAGGGTGGCTGCTGATAATTTACCATGATGTGAAAAACGGGCGCTGTATTGCACCATTGACATGTGGTGTATAATGGCGTGGAAGCTGCGAAAGAACCCCTCGTGTTACTTCCTATTAAATTTGTTTCTATTGTTTTACTGTGTCTCAAGTCATTATGGCTTGCCGTGAGTTTATACATATTATCCAGCAAAAAGTATTTTATTGTGTTTCAAGCTTTGCTTTCAACTACATTCTTAGCACCCTGAATAAAATATGCTTAGGTTTAAATTTTCAGTAAAAACGACATTGGACTTTGTTTTCTTGCTAATGAGTGAAAATTCGAAAAATGTATCTTACGTAAAAGTGAAATTCTAAATGTGAACTAACTCAACAGCAGTTCTCTTGCTAAGCTACCTACCTGTATAAATTATAGTAAATAATCAATTAAATATTTTTCTATAATGATTTACTAGTTTTATTTTGCATAGATTTGCCTGTTGATACAATTTAATTTTGATTTTCAGATTCACACGTAAATTGCATTTGTTTTCAAGCGTAAAAACAAATTTAATGTTATGAACAAATACACCACCTGAACAAAACCTATTCCTTTTCTTACGCAATCATTTTCCTACGCAAGCACAAACAAACGACCATGCTAATAATCATTTACACTGGCACTGAGGCTTAAAAAATTTACCGCGCTCACTAAGTCTTTTTTTTCACCGTGAATCTGGATAAATAAACGAGGAAAGCTCGGAAACGCGACGCGCTCTATTCATCGCAGTTATGAACCGTCATCTTATTCTTGTTAGTATTAAAAATACGTGAGTTTGATCCGTCTCGACTAATATGGTTCTTGTAGGCAAGCCATGCTTTGTTTTGCTTCGATAGGTAATGTTACATAGGGTTCTTTCAAGGCATACGTTCGTTGAAAGTGAGACCTCGTCTCTGGCTCAGCCCAAGGTTTGCCATTCATTTCAAGGTGTTCACTTTCAAAGAATGCATTTAACTGTCTGCTTAAAAAGACCCGCAAATTGTTTGGTTAGGATATGTGATTATGCACCTATTGTTTCATCGAATAAACACTGGTAGATTGGATGGAAAGACTGCATGAGCAGTAAACCCTTACCATTCAAAATTCAAGGAGTTCAAGTTCTCGTTTCAACGTATAATATAGAGAAAAAAATGTTCCTTTTGGTTGCAGAAACAAAACCATAATTAAAACTAAATTTTACACAGTTTTCGAGGTGCGAACAATGATTATAAGTGTTACAATCAATTTTAAGTTCAGTTCCCTTGATCTCTTTACCCACCATATATTAATCGAAGAAATTGTCGTGTCGGACAGTACCAGACAAAAACTCTCGTCTGATAAACACATAGGAATTTTATAAGGAAATGTATCCGTATCCCCTTGCATACAATGCACAACGCTGTCACTAGCTTGTCTTATAAATCTCTGCAAATTATTTACTTCCGCCACTTGAACTTCAACCTTCGTGTACGCGGATCATATCGCGGATGTCCATGGCAACATTAAATTTGTTCTCATACTATTATCATTTCTATAATATCTTTAACATTTGAATAAATAAATTTTTAGCGTAGAGTGCAACTTTTTAGGTGAGCATCATAAAAAATAACTAATTTTTGATGCGCCAAGCAGATATTACTTCGTCACAAATATGAAAAATTGTGTTGTAAAATATATATAAAAATTAGAGCTAATTTTAACGGGTGATGCTTTCAATTTTGTAAATTGATGTAAAGCTTTTTGTCGAAAATCAATTCAGAGATTTATTGGAAATTTGTTAATAAAAATAAGTAATTACATGAAATATCGATAGCTCAAAAGATTCAATTCTAGATAGAATAATATTACTTACAAACGTTTTACACAATTTCTTTCTATAAATAATGAGGATGAAAATAAACTGTCTCTAAAATCTAAACGTTACACTTGCCTCCAAAATTTTCGCTGTGTTGTTTCTACATTTGAGACAAGTTGAAAACGTTTTATATGCGGGCAAAATCCTCAACAGCATCGAAAAAAAGTCATTTGGACCAAACATAAAAGTTGTGTCATTTACATTCAAATTCTTTCTCATACTTAAAAGTCGTTTCATATCATACAAGTAGTTTTCTGCACGTGGAAGTTGTTTCCTACACATCCGAGATAGAGAATCATCCATAATGGTACAGGAAACGCTCGTAGATAACTACACGCAGCGTTTCAGCATCCCGCACGTCTGTATCGTACATACATTTTCGCCTTAGAGTCACTGGTTGTCCTTGATGGAATCTTTCGATCTCTCGATTTCACTCGTCCGACTCTGAAAGAAGGAAGGAAGGATGTTGGTGGCACCAAGACCGATCTCGAGCAAATCCCTAAGTGAAAAGGAGCATCAATCACAGTATTTAAACACCAAACTTGTTCGCTCGAAAAGTAAACGCGTTACTCGGGCGCCAAGAGCTTTGTGTCTCATGTGCTGGACATTATTCGTGTCAAGGTGAAGACTTGGACTGAAATTTGCTTATCTCCAAATATTCAGAGAATATCGTGCCCCCCTGTGCGATCTACACATGAGTTTATTGTTCATTACTATCAAACAATATCGGAGTTTACTTTAAGGTACTTCTAAACGCTACCGTAAATGTATTTGAGTGAACGAGTTTATTCAACTTGCTGCTGAAAAACTGCATAATTTTAAAAATTTTTGAGTAATCTCTCACCGATTAAAATTTACGGACCAAAATTCGTTTAATTCACTAGAAATTCAGAAGATGACGTTCTTTATTTTTTACTCTTCATATAACGATTCGGATCCAATCTCCATCGTCAGTTTGAAAATTCTAGAATACATATACAATCAGTTGTTAGCACAGTTCAAATTAAGAAAAAACAAAAGTTAAAACCTGAATTTACAAATAGAGACAAATCCCAAAAATAGACGAATCATATATATTTACAATTCAAAATAAATAAGAGATAAAGGCTGCATCGAAAATAGGCCTCTGATTAAAACAATTCAGACGTACTAAAATTTGCAAATCGGAAGCATCGGAAGTGGCTGCAAAGATTTGAAAACACCATCGAATATCGGCTTGTTACAATACTCGGCATGAGTGCGCACAGCCGAATGAGGGAGACCTAATGATTGGCCAGTTCTACAACTCATTCCTTTATGCTCCGCCACTCTAGAAGAAAAATTGCGTGTCTTTTCTCTGACATACGCAGTTATGCGTCACGCAAAACTGTGCTCATGAACTTGAGACGATTGCGTATGGATAGGGAGAATATTTTTGTACCTTAGTAGAGAACCGATTTTAAAATTATTCAGATTAACATCTGAAAAGTTGTTCATAGACAAAAATTTAATTCACTTGAAATAGTGTCGGATGCAGTGCCAATGTGTTTATTCTACATTCCGTGCTATGCACTCCGAATTTGAAATTTTGCACAATATCTTCTTGCGAAATGGATTTCCGTCTTACCTGTTGATCACCAAAATAAAGAAATTCATATCCAAGCAATACAAAAAAGTTATTCCAGAGCGCGATAGTAGGAATTTAGTTATTTTTTTTTGCATACCTTGGCCTGGCATCCGAAACGATGTCAAAAGAATTTTTGGAATTTACCGACTGTAACGAACAAGGACTTATATCTGCATTCTCGAATTTTTGAAATGACGATGGAGATGGACTCACTATCGAAATATTTGCTATAAAAATATGGATAATTTTTGTGGAATTTTCTTCACATTTCAATTTCTTGCAAATTTGCGATCCAAGAAATCGAGTGACATTGATAATTCGTTAAAGTGCTGAGCCGCTGCCATCACTCTAATCACCTTCTATTGGGGTCACTTTTTTACACAAAGTATATATAAATGTGTAAGCATAAAAGTGGGAGTAAATCCAGGTCGCAAGAAGTCTATAAAAGGCGAGCCCTTGAAATTATTTTTTTTGGCAATATTTGCCTGTAATAATATAAATTTGCCTGCTAATTTTATGGTACGAGTGCCCCGACATTTATTTTTTTTGTAAACGCAGGATAGAAATTTTAGATGCCATGGTTATTGACAAATTTCCTAAAAGAAAAATGCAGTAAAATTTCAATATTTTTGACCCATACTTCAACCTGTCTCTTATACACATCTAGATGTGTATAAGAGACAGGTTATACTCTTTTCATCGGGATGTTGGTATGATCTTCCATATTGCCGATAAAGATTAGGAATTTTAAACTAAGCTAAAACAGTAAATTGACCGCATTGTGATCAACCATTTAAATCTTAGAAGTAAAAATAATTTGAGCACTTTATTGTCGTACAAATTTTGATGATGGTAAATGATGGTAAAATTCTACAAATAGTTTCTCATTAGCTATGAAATATTTCTTCAATAATTTTGAAATAAATTTTTCGTATATTTTCATTCATGAATTGTTCGCAAAATCAATGGATCAAAGAATGTAATCAATAACTTGGATCTCGCACCATATTTTGCTTCACCATCACATACAAGGAATTTGGCTGCCCTGGTTTGTTCACCAGCTTATTTTTATCTAATGAACAAAAAATTTTCTTGAGAGTTGAAAATGTTACCTTCTTGGAGGTTGATAAAACCAATATTTATTTCTCCGCAAAATTATTATATTAGAAACTTTGGAATCATCTACATTCAAAATCGAAATATTTTGCAAATGCGACATGTGCTTGCTCAAAGTAGTAGCGTTCTTCTTCAATGTAAGGTTATAAAGTTCAATTTAATAAGGTTCAAAAGGATATTGTAGTATACCGGTACATGAAAATTAAACTTCATTTTTTAGTTTAAGTGCCACGATGTTGAAAACGCCGAAGACAATGGACTCTGCGAATATATCAAAGTTTGAGGAAATCTACAGTGAAAATTCGTTAATCTATACCTTGCATTTATTCAGACCATCTTCGCCGCCCTCTTGGCCGTGGCCGCTGCCAGGCCAGATGCTCCCCGCCGGTCATACGCCGCTCCCCCCGCCAACACCTACTCCGCCCCCCGCTCCGACGACAGCAGCGAAGAGGTCGCCATCCTCCGTGACGACCGCGTGTACCCCAGCGCCGCCGGCGAGTACAGCCTCGACTTCGAAACTGCTGATGGCACCAAGATCTCCGAGTCCGGATACGGCTCAGGCCCCGATGGCGCCGTCGAGACCCAGGGAACCGTTAGCTTCAGCCACCCCGACGGTGAGAGCTTCGAGCTGAAATACGTCGCCAACGCCGAGGGCGGATACCAGCCCGAATCCGATGCTCTGCCCGTGGCCCCTGCCTTCCCCCACGAGATCCCCCAGTTCGTCCTCGACCAGATCGCCAAGGCTGCCCGTGAAGATGAGGAAGCCGCCCGCGCTGCTCCCCGTGGCTCCTATTCCGCCCCCGAACCCGCCAGTGCCTACAGCGCTCCCCGCCGTAGCTAATTTCTCCCCTCCGATTCCCCAACTCTAAGTCGCACTTACGTGTAAACGCCCTCCATCTTTTCTGACTTCAAATTAATGATAAACTCTCTTCGACCTTCGTCCACTGTGATATTAGAGGAGCCACGTTGAGGGAACCTTCTCATGCGTTGATTACCTAACCTCTCATCGGACGGTTCTCCAACGCAGACTCACTATTTGACCTTCCATTTCGATCTTAACTATTTATCATATTTATTTATTAAATATGTGTGTGAATTTGCAATCGTGTTTTCAATCGATCCTCATTTCAGCGACTTTCTCGTTTTAAACTTGACATTACAAAAATATCAGATGTACTATTGACAAACAGGAAAATAATATTGGATCCGCCCTGTGTTGCTCGGATACCGACTAAATGTTTTCAACCATTCAAAATAATGAATATAGTTCGAGGATCAACATTGAGTAATCAAGTATAAAAACCAACTTTAAGTTGACATGAAAGTACGCTATTTTAATTATTTGAAATTGAATTAAATTGAAATGCACGAGTGAAAACAGAACAGATGAACAGAGCAGCAAAAATCGAAATACAGTAAAGTGAAATTCTTATTCTCAGAATGGTCGAGAAAGAAATCAAACACTAAAAAGGTATAAATAGTTATGTAAATTAAATTAAATATCACCGAAGAACGGGCTAAAACACTTTCTTGACTCTGGCACAGATATTCAGGAATTATTAATTTATTCGGACATTCGTTTAATTCCTCTATTCCCAGTCCATGCAGACTCTGAATCTGTCATCAAAATATTGTTTCCAGGTTTTCGCTTACCAAATTACGACACCAGCTTAGAAAAAATCTAAATATGAAAAGCCGATGCATTGCATAAGGATAAACTACATAGGTTAATTGGACCTTTACCAGGTTTTTGAACTAATTGGTTTTCCAGGAGCTGAACCACAAAGATTGTGGCCAGTCAGTCTGCGTTTAGTCCTGGGTTGGAATGGTGTGGATGTGAAACTAATGTCTTTCGATAAGTGTATGCCAAGTTTACAACTTTTCTTATGAAGAGATAATGGTGAAATATTAAAAGTCAGCCATAGATCTTTCATAACCCCCAACATGCTCGAACTGGTGGTAAAATTAGGCAGTGAACTTTATAAGAATTATCTTTAATTTTAAACTCAAAATCGAAGTGGATTCTATCACGTGGAACAGTGTGCTGTGTGATTGGGTAAAAACATTTAGTCCATATTATCGAATTCAATTCTCTGTAATCAAGTTAGCTTTGAAGAAGTTTCTACAGATTTTATTCAAGGTTTAACTTCTGCTTGAATTTGCTGCAGTTAATCGGAACTGCAATCAGCAATGCTATCTTATTACTGCAGAATAGCGTTCATCTGACATTCGATTGCCAGATATTTCGTTGTCGAGCTGGACAGCTAGGTGGACCCGGCACCCGCAGTATTCCTAGATCGAAATGTTTGAGCATTTTTTGCCAGTACACATGTTTTGCTCAGAAGACATTGATTGTCACGACTTGGCAAAACAGGCGCGCCGCTGTTGGCCCACGCACAAAATTATTTCTTTGAATATCCTTGGAGCTAACGCGCATAATTTCAGAAGTCCATAGCAACTGCCCAACCAGTTTCGTCTCCGTGGGTGTGCAATATGTCCTATTTGGCTATTTCCACACTTAATTAACACGACTCTTCAACTTCATGCAGCCAACAAGGTCCGGTTAGGTTTGTTTGGGGGGAAAGTCGGGGCTAGGGTGGAGGCAGAGGCTCCATGGTGGCGTCGAAGATGAATGTATTCTATACTAACTTGAGGATTGGCTGTGGACTAACGGCGGCACGGCGCTGTGACTAAAAGCAACTAACTACTCGCACATAGACGACAAGTCCTTTAGCGTGGGCGATAGGAATAACATTCAGTGAGAAGATGGGAATTGCTGGCCACTGAAACTCTCCTCGGGAAAACTACTTCGAGGACTTCGGTAGCTACGCTCTTTTAATGGTGATTCATCAGCATAATGATAAGCTGCCGGCTGATCAGTGATACTCGTTGATAAATTTATCCACGAGTATCACTGATCGCCAGTCGAAGGCTGTTAAAATTGGAGAGTATTAAATTATTTGCTACAAGGTTGTAAGTGAAAACACGTGTCCTTAAGTTGTCTTTAGTTAAATGCGCTCTAAATCGCACTCCAGTGTGAGTGAATTCATATTTATCATTTGTCTTTCCAAATGTTAATGGGTTAAGTAAGTTTTAACCTAACATTGGTTGTCAAGGGCTGTCAAGATCTGAAACTTACCCTGCATTAAGAAGAATATTTCTATCCTTGAGGGCAACGTACGAGCCCTGGTTGAAAGTACTCAAATTTTAAACCAAAAGCTCCACAACGCTAATTTGAACCTATAGCCTTAAGATATCATATGCAGTTAATATAATTCCAATCGCACTGCTCAGGAACAATCGGTCACCTCTAATCTCGTTTCCCATTCCTCAGAAGAGTTTTATTTTCAGTGATGAATTTTAAGTCCTGAGTCCTGACTGGCAATTTTGGTGATAACCTCTACAAAAAAAAAAAAAATGATCTTACAGCTTGGGTCTCCAATAATTTCTTTCTATTCCTTCTAAATATGTACGCATTCTTTAGGGTGTTTATCAAGGATCAGCTAAAAAATGTCGCGATGCCTAAGTGCAATTAAGGCTGTAGATTACGTGATTTTGAATGCCCGAAATCAGCCTACCTAGCCATTCATTGGCCCATGCTAGTCAAGTGTGTAGCAGTTGATAATGTTACTTGTAAAACATACCCTTCTAATAGTAGTGAAATATTGTTGATAAATCGTTAAACGATCCTTTAAGCTCGATCGAATATTTTGTGATGCATTTAAATGTGGTGAGTAACCGAGTTGATAAAATTTATTTTTGGTTCTGTATGTGGATAGTTAAGCCTTGAAAACGTTGTTGGATCATTCAGTCCAAAACGTAATACATAAGATTCGTTCTGTGAAAGTAAATTTTTAAATAATTGGTGCAGCTCATCGGTACAAACGGCCAGTGCTTTTTATTGTCCTTTCTGTGAAAGTGAATGAGAAAATGATCAAGCCATTTTGCCTGCCATTTTGGTCTTCCGCATCCGTCCCTCCCACGGTGAGTACGTACTAAATTGAATCATGTCATTTTAACCTGTGCTTGGTAAATGATCTTGAAACGAGATTTTTATGAAATCTTAAAACAAATGAAAATACTGTTTATAAAATCAGTAAAATTGTGTCTATAATATTTTCTATTTAATTTTTAATGATTGAATAGGGTTGGAGTTCGATGTGGGGGTTGAGTATAGCAATGAAAAGAAGATGTCTATTATTGCTTAATTTTTCTGAACTTTTATATATCATGCTGGTGATATTTTTCGGTTAATTTATTAAACTTTATTTGTCGTTTTTTACCGTACTAGCTCCTAATTAATATTAACAACTGATTTCTTGGCACTGCATCTGATCTTAAATTGTTGTTCCGTGTCATCGGCTAAAATTGATGAAATTATTATCACCAAAAATCGTTTCAGCTACTGCGAGGTACTTGCATAAAATGGCATTCAAGCGATAAACTGAATAATGTAATTATAACCCAACTTAGCATATAGGAATTGATCGGCAACTATTAATTTGTTCATTTGTCGTTGGCTAGGCCATAATTTACGTTGACTTCACCAAAGATATTGTTTGGAAACTCCTCACTTTTGCGGCATGACCCGGAAATATTGCTCAAGTGCCTCGAATTAGGGACTGCGATTTATATCCTAACAATTTTTTCGGTGTGCGTAAGTTTCTTTCCAGGGTATAAGTAGGATGTAGTATGAGTTTGGGTCACTCTGCGTTTGACAGCTTTCTATCGTGCGGACTGCTGCTTGAGTATAGTGAAATTATGACCGTGATCAATTGTATTCGTGTTAGGAATCCCGGAAGGTGTCCAAAGCTCCACTATATTTGGCTCAGAAAGCTCGACTTCATGACGCAATGTTTAAAATTACGATATTTTAAATGTTAGCTTTTCTACATTTTGGCAGATATTTACAATATATACAAAACACGTACAAGGTTTGCAATAATTTATTCTTTTTCAAATAAGATATATTCATTTTGTACCTCTATCGCCATTTACTGGTCTCGCATTACACCGCAAAGAACTTTTTCAACAATTTCAAAATCGGTCGAATCTGTTTCCATTATAACAAGGTATGCCATAGAAATAGATGTAGCAAAAATTTTCTGTGAAGACACCGTAGAAAGTTTTATTTTGATGGCATACATCTAAATTTATTCAAATTTGTTCACTCTCAATTCATATCCACAATAGTTAGGCAAGATCATGGAGTACGATGCTTACTGTGTAACCAAAATAGTATTATTCATAGTATAAAATTGTCGATAATTTGGTTTCTCATTGTATTTCGTTCAATTTATTAGAGTTACGTGGCTATTTGAATTACCCTCATTGATTATGTTCACTATTTTGGATAACTTTCTTGCGAACGAAAAAGGGGAGAAGAAGGTTTAAGCTTGACATAGCATACATCCAATATTTGCCTAATAATTGGATTGAAATGGTACATAAATCCTACAGAAACCTGGGGCATAATGAGGAACCTCATCTCCGATGTCCATATAGCGATTGATGCAAATAGAATGGTGCTTAAATTTAAGATTAATAAACTAATTAAAGTCTTAGCAGTTAATGTACTGTAAAACAATTATGAATTTTCAGCATAAGCATATCAGCTTCGAGATGCCTGCAGTTACGTGCAGCGTTGCGTCTGCGAAAATGCCCAAATGGTAGAGGAAGACCGAGCGCACGGCCCGAGACAAACGATAGTTAAAAATATACCTATTGGTGGCATCGAAAGAGATCGTCCAGACTGTCTCTGAACGAACGCAATAAAACGCAATAAAAATATTCTTAACACGTTGACCACGATTGCTTCATCTTGTACTATTATTTCATTTTTTGTACTGTTTTTAAACAGGGTTTCCAGACGGTCATTTTTTCCGGACAAATTCCGTGATTTAGTTTTTCTCAATTGCGTTGGCCGGCTAAAATTTATGATATGGGGTTACTTCCTAATTAAATTTTAAATACTGCAAAAAGGAAAATAAATGGAATTTTTATAGTGGAACCTACAAATAAACTAGTATATTTTGAGTTATCGGCCTTTTTTGGCCTTTTTACAACACTTCTCTTTAACATCACTTCTTGTTTGTCTGTCTGT